TGAGGGAGGGCAGGGGCTGAGCTGCACCAACAGCAGCAAGCTCTGCCCCTGGGCAGTGCTGGGGCTGCAAAAAGGGCCAGTCAGCACATCACAGAATCCCCAGATTGTTTGGTTTTGAAGAAACCTTAAAGCTCCTCTCACTGCACCCCCTGCCATGGGCAGGGACACCTTCCACTGTCCCAGGCTGCCCCAAGGCCTGTTCAGCCTGGCCTGGAACACTTCCAGGGATGGAAGATGAATGTCAGTGGAGAATGAAGCAGCTGATACAGCCCTGCACCCCCTGCCTGCTCCTCAGTGAGGAGGTCCCAGCACCCTGAGCCACTGTGACCCAACTTTGTGCCATCTGCTTGCTGAAGTTCTGTGCTGAACATGCTCATCTCTGATGTGTTAATGAGAGGAGCAGGGATTTGTATCCCTGGTTTTAAACCCTGCTAATTTAGCAAACATTACCCTAAGCATTATCCCAGGTGGGATCAGCCAGCGCGGTGCTGCAGCCCCTGGGAAGCAGGGGAGAGTGATTTGGCAAAGAGCAGTTTGCTCAGCCTTAAAGTACTTTGTTCTGCTCAATCTGCTCCAGCAGCACTGAGCAAAGGACACGGGAACAGTCAGGAGTGCAGTTCAGCCCCTGTGAACCTGTTCAGGCACTGGAGTGACCCAGAGCTCACATGGGGAGGGAGGTTAATGAGGGGAAGGAAGGCCAGTGCTCTGGAGAAGATCCAGACTGACATCTCAAACATCAGAACTCCAAAATCATCTGTGTCCACAGAGATATCCACAGCCCTGGAAGTGTCAGAGGCCAGGTAAGATGGGCTTGAAGCAACCTTGGATACTGGAAGGTGTTGCTGCCATGGCAGGGGTGGAACTGGATGAGTTTAAAGTCTCTTCCAACCCAAACCATTCTGGGATTCTGTAATAAATGTGAATTCTACAATGGCAGCAAGGGGTTGAACAGTTTAGCAGCCATTTCTAATCCTTGGTAAGATTTTGGGATGGGATTTTTCACTCTGGGCTGAAATGAATGTTGGCAACTGAAGTGCAGCACGGTGTGATGGGGTGGACAGCTCAGTGTCACCAGAGCCAGCCAGGAGAATTAATTAAAGCCAGGAGAATGAAACCCAGGGCGTTAAGAGAAAGAAAATCCAAGCAAGCCTGAGCAGAGTCAGACACAGGAGCTGCAAATGCCAAGTGCCAGCCCAGCTACAAAGGCCAGCAGCAACCAGCCAAAGATGGTCTGGGGGAGCTGAGAGTGCCGGGACACAGCCAGGCAGCATCTGGCAAAAAGAAAAAAAAAAGCCCCTCCAAGAGCTCCTCACTGCTCCTCTGCTGGCTGTAGGGGAGGCAGAGAGGGGCACTCAGGCACCCAGGACACCCAGAGCACTCAGAGCACCCAAAGCACTCAGAGCACTGAGGACACCCACAGCATTCAGGGCACAAAGAGCACCCAGAGCATTTGGCACTCAGAGCACCCACAGAGCGCTGCAGAGCTGGGGCTGGACCTGCAGTGGTTCAGGTGTAACTCACCTGTTCCACCGTGCAGGGAGCAGAGCAGCAGTGAGTGCAGCTGCTTTCTGTTTTAGGGGAACAGAAGCTCCAGTGAAGCTCACTGAAGCTTTTCCTAGAACACAGCTCTCATCAAGGAGCCTCTGTGACACTCAGCCACCACAGGCACTTAAGGAATAAACAAAGAGGATGAGAAAAATTTGGGTTTGTTATGAGCCATAGCCTGAAGGGAGCTACTGGTAGGGAACAGACCTGCCTGATCAGAACCTTCACCTGGGGTTTGGGAGTTCAGCCACCCCCAGGCTGGGAGGCATTCCAGGTTCCCAGAGCTCTCCCTCACTGGCTGCAGAGAAATTATTCCAAGGGAATTTTAGCTGAGGTGCGAACTCACTCCCCTTCCTTCTCTCAGGTCTGTGCTCAGCTGGGCACTGCAGGAGCTGCAGCCATTCCACAAGTCCAAAACCTGCCAGACAAGTCCCTGCAGAGCTGGGACTGAGCTGGGCCACAGCCCAGGATCTGCAGAGCTCAGTTCTGCCTCTGCCTTCCCAAGCAGGAAATTCAGGACACTGCTCCAAAAATGGGATTTACCAGTGGTGGGGAGCAGCACAGCCACCGAACTGCAGCCCCAGGTTGAGGGAACAAAGAGAATTCCAGGTCTGCAGCTTTTTCATTGCATGCAAAAGGTCCAGAGACCTCCAAACCCTCATGTTTCATGTAGCAAAGGACAAGGGACAGTCAGGTGTAGATAAATATGACAAATCATTTTCTGCAGCCTCAGCTGGGCTCACCTGGGCTCCTACAGCCTAAATTTCACCCCATTTCCACACTGCAGGTGTTGTCAGGAAAAGTTTTTTGACAGGTGTGACTCCATATCTGATGATGTGCAAGAAAGAAACTCAAATTGAAAGAATGATTTTTCTAATTTAATAGAAATAACCAACCAAAATGAGTTCCAAACAATGCTTTAAACTGAGCTAATACAACTTCTACGGCACATTCCAGAGCACTTAACAAGAAATATTTACAGGCAGCTAAAGTATTAAATAACCAGGGAAAGAAAATCTCCTGTTTTTTAATTACACACCAGCAAAAGAACACAGGAACAGAACAATTAGAAATGATAACTTTTTTAAAAAAAGGTAAAATAGGATGATTCAAATACAATATCACAGAAACAGCACTTGGGTTTTTTTGAAGAATCATATTAAAAGATGAGGCCAGTTTATTATGTGCAAAATGACCCAGCTCTAGTACTGGAAGCAGGAAATAATCGAAGAACCAAAGAATGTCATGATTTAACCCTTCCAGGAGAATGTTTACATGTAAAACAAGTTTAGCACTGCACAAGTCTGTATAGGATTATTTACATCTGCCCTGGTGTTCTGAGCCTAAAAATCCCCCACTGCAGGTGAGCACAGACGTGCCAGGGGAGCTTGCTCCAGACTGAATCCTGCCAAAATCCAGCTTGCAAAATATTCCAGTACCTCTCTTTGTAGAAATCCCATAAATTCTAAAGCCAGCAGCCTCGAGCTGTGATTTCATTCAACAGAAAAGGCCCAAACTGCATTTTGTACATTTTATAGTCCACTTATAATAAAGATTCCCAATTAACTGCAATTTTGGAAAGCTGATTTGATCCTGACACATTAGAAAGCACAGAAAAAAGGATCCCCATAAGCCAAGTGGAAGTAGATGGAAGAGTTACTGCACACATGCTTGGAGAAGACAAAACAAATCACCACACCCAAGGTACAATCTATATGTGCCAGCTGTGTAAACCGTGGCATTCACATTTTTATTTTAAAAAAAGTACCTCCATTATTTGCTCAGCTACTTCTTAAAAAAATATGTAACTTTCCCCAGTTTTTTAAAATAAAATGCCACCATCTATATTGTCAGGAGCTGCTGCACACTTTGTTTTTAGAAGCTAGGCTTGGTGATTTACATACAAACTTCCCTGTAAAATCGTTATCCAAAGGAAAGGATTCCTGTCATGCTGATAGGCAGCTGACAAAGCAGTTTTATTGCTTTTTTTCAGAGGAAGTGAGAAAAACAAGGAGAAGCCAACTGGGAAATGCCAATTCCCAGCACACGACACACACAGCTTCAAAATACTGTTGCAATAACCTAAACTTTTCCTGGTCAGCCAAAACCAGGTGATAAAACCAAATTTGGGCTCACTTTAAGGACTTTTCCAGTAGCTTGAAATGTTTGATGCAGATAAAGTGTCACAGTGAAGTGTCAGACCCCACACAGAGGAACAACCTCTCCACACTTAACTGAGCATTTCTGTTTGCAGAAATTGGGAAAAGCCCCTTTTTTAGGATAATAACTCTGCCTTACTGTGCTCTAGACCATTTAATTCCAGGGCACAGCTAAATAAAAGGCCTGAGCCCATTTAGCTGTTGAATTCCCACTCATCACCAGGAATTCCATGGCAGGACGTGCTGAGGTCATAGAGCACGGAATTCTGCACTCTCATTTCAAAAGCAAATTGCCTTTTCCTTCTTTGGATTAACTTAAAATTTCAGGGGCAACAAGAAGTTCTCAGCCAAAATGGAGACACAAATTTTTGGGGGTATTTTAAGTGAGAGCAGAGCTGCACCAAGTGCCAGATTCCTCCTGCCACCCCATGGGATCAGTTTTACAGGAATTCCTGATGTCAGCTGTGCCCAGGTAAAATCCTCACGCATTGCACATGAGGTGCCCAGAGAATTAGTGGCTCATTAATACAAACCCAGTAATTTGCTCCTGAATGAGCTCCAAACAGTGAGGCACCAAAAATTGTTTCTACTGAACAAACTCTTCCCAGTTCTGTGATGAACAACCAGACTACAAGATCAGAGATCAGCAGAGTTTATCTACCCTTTGAAATAATTTCAAATAGAACTTTGCTGCTTTCCAAACAATCACTGAATTGCTGCTTTGGGAATTCAAAAACAAAGGGGAAGATGAAGAAGAGAATTTTTTTTTTCTTGTATAAAAGAAACACTTGAGATTTCTTGCACACATTCAAAATTCCACATATTCCTACTGAGCACTGGGGAATGGATGGGAGGAGCAGTTCTGGAGGCTCAGTGGGGTCTGTGCAAGGGAAGAACTTGGCCTCAGCAGGGTCCAGCCCAGCTCACTCCTGGTATGCAGAAGATGCTGAGCATGAGCTGGACAAGTTCTGTACCTGGAGTAGAGTTGGAGAGGCTACCTCAAAGGAAAGGCTGTCCCAAAACACTGGGAACTGCTCTGGGGTCTGGGTGGGGAGCAGGGGGTCCTGTTCCTGCAGCAGCTGGGGGGCATGACCCTCCCTGGAGGGTTTGGGGTGAGTCCTTCCCACTGAGCTGGGATCCCCTGAGCTCCATCTGGGATCCCCCCACCATGTCCATCCCATGCTCTAGCTCATCCCCAAGGATCTGCAGGATCCAATCCCCACCTGCTGCCCAGGGAATAGCTCAACAGGCGAGGCCTGAAGGTACCAATAATGCCATAAAAACAGGAGCCCCGAGTGAAGAGAGTTCACAGAATCTTATTTTCATGATAATTTTAATAATATTCCTTTTGCAAAATGAAGCTGAGAAACTAGAAATGCATAAATAGGCAATACACAGAGCCATGAAATGATCCCTTGTCACTACCAGTGTCCTATTCACACGTCAGCCTTTCCACAGGCAAAGTTGTTGCTCTTTGTCAATTGAATATGTTGAAGTGGAATTGATTTTCCTTTCACATACAAACTGGCAAAAAATAAACTTAAAACAGTACTGTTAATGTCTGAGAAATTAAAAAAAGAAAAAGCCAACCAGTTTTGAGTTTGAAGTGTAACATTTGAGTAAAGAAATGAGTTGGAAGTTACAAACATCTTCAGTCCCCTCATTTATTGCAAGAGGGAGAATCCCAAGGTACACAGACCTGGTTCTTATAAAAGAAACCAAATCTGCAGTGATTTGCATAAAAACTGCTGAGAGCATTTCTCAATTTGATATTGTGCTAAAACAGTTCTCTTTACCAGGATGGTAAAGCGTGTACAGTGTCACAGGAATTGCTATGCTGAGTACACCAAACCCCCAGGGATCTCTCCAAGAATTGCTGGATCCACACAAATTCTGGCAAATTGAGATTCTGCCATCTCGAGTTCATTGATTACATGAATCCTTCAACTTCCTTTAACAAGATCAATATGAAGGCCAGAAATTGTATTTATTTCTAGTACTGACTTGTGTCAGTAAAGAAAACAACTTCTCGAGCTGTAACTCCTTGTGATTCCATGATTTCTAACCAGGAATGCTGGGATGGAGCAGTGCAAGGGAAGACACTGCAGAGGTGCCTCAGGGGGTAGAGGGAACTGGGAAATTGTTCTGTTCTCACTCTTTGAGCAGAAACCACTCAAGGCCAAACCCTGTGCAAGTGCTTTGTTCAATGGATGGACAGGCAACCCAAACTCAGACTGATTCCAATCTTCCTGCACATTTCCCTCACAAGCTGCTTCTGAAGAAAGTTCTGAGAAGTACTCTAAGAAAAATAAGACAGAACCTCAAAATGAATGCAATGTTAGAAATAGCATATATTACAAATCTTTTCTTGATAGGAACAATCAATAAGAATACATATTAGCTTAAAAACAGTTCAGCAAATGTTGCTGACCTGCAAGAAATCTCAATTCACTATTTACAAATAAGACAAAGTGAATACAGGAAATTTTACACATTTGGTAGTTAATACGTTATTGTTTGCCAAGTGGTCTATTAGAAACTGATATTTAGGAAGACTGGAAAAACACCCCAACCAGTTATTACCTCTTCAGTCTATATTTTAAGTACAGAAAACTAGAGAATGAATACTGGAGAGAACATTCTGCCTCGTCAGGGGGTCAGGGACAGATGACAACGGTGAGACTTCTGCCATGGATGCCATTAAAATGTTCTGGGTACAGGACTTTAATGAATACACCTTGTCCTACTGAAAGGGATTGGAGCCACCAGCTTAGCCTTTCATCTGCCAAAACCTCACACTCCTGCACTTGCCCATTCAGAACAGTTTAATGATTTTTCTTTCTTTTTCCTTTCGCTCTACATAAAATGGAGTAAAGAAAGCAAAATGGCAACAGTTGGATCGACACAGAAGATCAGTTATTCACAATCCTGCTTCAGTGAGATGATCAAAGCAACGACCAACACACACTTGGGCGGACACAGAGGGGATTTCAGGAGCTCTGCTCACAGTTTACACTGCAGTGTAATACAAGATACAGTCACTGAGTGGGTCCAGTCCTGCAGATCGTGTCACTACACAGTCTTATCTGTGCATGGAACATCTCCTACCAAATCTGCTTCTCTTCAACGTTCCTCCACCTCTGTCTGTGAGACCAGGATGAGTGTGTCCTCTCCATCAGGAAAAGAAAGAATATAGCAAGAAATAGAGGGAAAAAAAAATACAAACCACCAAAAATTTACAATACAGGTTTTTTTTCCCCTTTTGATGCGAATGTTTTTCTGTACAAGTGTTGTTTGTTATCTAATACTGTTTAAAAAGCTACCAGCTTCTTCAAGATGGCCACTGTAGGCATGATAATATTCCAGAAACACTTAAATAACAGTTTTTACAATAAATTTTAGGTCCATATCATTAGATTACTTTATATGCACTGGTCTCTCATCTGATTTTAGGCGTTTTCTACGTGGTTGTATAAAATCTTCATCGGAGTCCTCAGTTATTTCACCATCATCCTCTTCCTGCTCAAATTCAGGCAAAGGCTGGAAGGTCCTGTCTGAGTAGATCTCTGTAAGTTTATCTTCAAAGTACAATGCAACTGCCTTCCCTGCCTGTGCTACTTCTGAATCAGCCTGTGGATGAAAGAAGACAGGAATATTCACCTGTTGGAAATGCACATCCCTTCACCAAGTGTGCATGGTCTGAAACGCTTACCTTCAAATTAATCTCTTGTGTTTCTGCATAAACTTGAACAACTTTCATCATCTAAAAAGGATACCAGAGTCAAAAAAAATGAAATTATAATCCTTTCTAAAGTTACGAGATTGCATAGGATTGGATGACTAAAGTCAGCCATAACAACAACACAGTTTGTTATGGTTTGTTAGCTTTAGCTCCCAAACTTAAGCAGCAGGTTTAAAACAGTCTTAGGTGGTAAATAAACCTTCAACAAAACACACAACTTTTGTACAAGTGGCTCCCAGCCGTTTGCTACTCATCACTGCTTTCTTCAGGATAAATTGGAGTTGCCTGGACATGATTGTGGGAAAGTCTCCTTTGGAGGGAAGAGCTCCAGGAGATCACTTTCCTGGGGATTACCCCACTTGGATTTCTGCTTTGGAAAAGCATTTGGCTTAGAGGAACTCAACATGATGCTGCTGTGAGAGGTCAGTGACTCAACTTTTGCCATGAGCCAGGCAAGCTGAAACACGTTTTATTTCTTTTTTAAAAAAGTAAGAAAAAAATCACCACATCCCTCAGTCCTTCCTCCCTTGTTCTACTCTGGTCTCTAAGAGCTGCAGCATGCTTTCCTCTACAGTGGAAGCTTCACTAATTCCCTTGATTGAGAAGTTCACATAATTACCTCATGAACTTCCCTTAATGCAGGGACATGAAGGAGTCGGGGTTGTCAAAGTCCCAAATGCTTCTGAGCAGCTCCAGCACCACATCACTGACCCTGATTTTTCCTAGTTTGGTTTTAATTGTAGCTTTGTGCAGTACCTTCAGTTTCCTTCTGCACAGGGCCAGAAATGCAGCCCAAACACTGCAAGTTCAGGTTACATTTTAAGAAATAAGAAATATTGGCTGCATTTCTAAGGTCAGAAGAAAGCCATTCCCTGTCATCCTTGCTTTAAAGCATTTCAAAGACCAGGAACCCTCTTAGCTCCTTACTCAGTTTCAGCATAGTATCACCTTTTTTTCTGATATTTAAATATTTTTTTCCATTGCTCCACAAACAGTAACATTCAGGTCATTTACCTCCCCAAGTCACATTTCAAGTGTAAGGGATATTTCATTATCAGATGGGATCATTGTAAAATTAGTAAAAAATATGACCCCATACCCAAGTTATCCACTGAAAACTGATTTTTGTGAGAGCCCAGCTACCAAGGAGTTCAAGCAGGAAGGTTAGAAGCCATAATTGCCACAAAGCTTTGTTGGATTCAGCCTGTGTGAGGAACTAAAACCAGAATAACTTCAAAAAGACAGATTTCTCCTCAGTAGAGGAAATTTCTCAACAGATTCCACCATGTTCCACAAGTGTAAAACAATTACCTGGGCAACTTGAGACACTTTTAAGTACTCTTGGTTGTCTTTATGGCACTTCCTGAGAACTTCTGCAATCAAACTGATGCACAGTAACCAGATCACCCTGCTCTTCACTCACAGACACCACTGAATGCATTTTACAAGTTCCCTCTGCTCTCCCAATTTAGCTAAAAATGAGAAGTAATTCTGCAATTGCCTTGAGTTTTGTTTGGTTTTTAAGTGTCTGATTCAGCATCTGCTCCAAAAGCAGAAGTTACAGCTGAAAGCAGAGCCTTTCCTGGGAGAAGCTGCACAATCAGGTTGAAATAAATCTTCATCTAAAATTACAAATGGTGTTTAGATTGGAAGTTAACATACTTCATTAAACCTTTCACAGTTCTTGAAGATCAACCGGACATCAGCCACAAAGTCCTCGGGGGTCTGGTAGTGTTGGGAATGCTTCTTCTGCAGTTTCTTCTTCACCGTGGATAAATCCATTGGTTTCTTTATGATTTTATAGTAGTTTGGTATCTGTAAAAATCCAACAGTGATTTATCACTGAATGGCTACAGACTTCACAGCTGAATTTCTACACTGAAAGTATCAATCCCTTAATCTCATCACATATTTCAGGCATGTTCAGCAAAGCAGAACAATTTCCCTCCCTCAAACTGTTTAAAAAGTTATTTGTAAGAATATGGTGTGACAGGACAAGAAGGATTTGCTTTAAATTGAAGGAGGGTAGATTTAGATTGGATATTGGGGAGAAATTCTTCCCTGTCAGGGTGGGGATGCCCTGGCACAGGTGGCCCAGAGCAGCTGTGGCTGCTCCTGGATCCCTGGGAGTGCCCAAGGTCAGGTTGGATGGGGCTTGGAGCAGCCTGGGACAGTGGGAGGTGTCCCTGCCCATGGCAGGGGTGGCACTGGATGAGCTTTAAGGTCCTTTCCAACCCAAACCACTCAGGGATTCTTTCTAACCTTCAGTGTCTCTCACAGTACAGCAAAGCTTTGCATTACAGTTACTCCTCTTACAGCTGAAAACACAAGAGGCAAAGCAGCTTCTTCCCTCCTCTCATTCAAAAGTTTGTCCGAAAAGAAACAAAAAGCTCTCCTAAAGCATTTTGAGTTTCATGGGTATCCTGAGACATCTTGTTCCAATTCAATAACTGCTAATTGGAATTATTTTTAAATACCTTTTTTTTGACACTGGGAGTGAAGCATCTGCCTGGAGCAGCTCCAGAATCAGCTGCTCTCCCTCTCAGACCCATGAAATGCTGGATGACTGACAGAACTTTTTGACTCAAGGTAGACAAGCTCCTGTGAAAGCAGTCAGTTCCTTCCCAAATTCAGCTCCAGACTCTCAGGGTTATACCAAATATAAACCACAAGCTGTTTTGCAGGAGACTCACCGAGGCTGGGACTGGCTCTTGGAACTCAATGCTCAGCTCGTGGCAGTACAGGTAAAGCAGGAGGCGTTCACATTTCTTATAAAGAAATAAACAGGGTCAGAGTAATATTCTTAATTAAACCCTGTCCCAGAAATTCATACCACTCTACTTTAAATAGGTTTTTACTTTAACAGCTTAGTACTAGAAAATTATAATGCAACCCCCTCAATTTAATTAAAAAAAGGTAAAGTTTTTGGGAGGGCAAAGTTGAGAGGCAGAACCCTATTTACTGTTCACAAATTTCCTCTGTTTTATCCCTCCTAACCAAAAGCTTAGGGCTGAAGTCAAGCATGGAGAGACATGCTAATATACTGCAAATTAAAAAATTAAATATCAACTAAAAAAACCACTTTTACTGCTTTTGTCCAAAAACAACCACATGTAACAGAAAGGGACTGAGCTGCAGACTTCTCTCTTCCCCACAAGACAAAATTGAACAATCTGAAAGCAGAGCCAGAGTGTTTCTATAAATTCCCCTGTTGAAATAATTTTCCTTGCTTTGCTTGTAATTTCTTTGGAAGAATTTGATTTGATAATGCTCTTAACACTACACAGTGTTAAAAATAAAAAAAACAGCTAAAACTTAAAACTAATTTTGATTGTCAAGGTCACTGAAATTCCCCAAGAATGCACTTGAATACTGCCTCTCACAGAATGCACATCAACACACCAAGCTCACACAAATATTTTATGAGGATGACACCAATGCTAAATGCAAAGGACTTTCCATTAAGTGCATGTTAAATGATGCTTTCAAATACAGAATTTGTGTTAATGCTAAATTTTAGCTCCTAAGTGACTACAGTCCCAATGAACCAGGGCACTCCCACAGTCACCAACACCTGGAGATGTGGCCACAGCAGGAAAAATCTCATTAATCATCTCGAGTTGTTTTGCAAAGCCATAACTACATTTAATTTGCTTCAGCCAAAACAAAACCATCTCCAGTCAGTGGGGGGTAGCTGATGTAAGAAAGCACTTTTTCCTGGGAAGCAAATTCCTGCAGACTCACCCTTTGGTCCACAGGACTCAGGCCTTGTGCTGTCTTCCCCTTCTTGCTGTGCTGGGAATTGTCACAATCATACTCCACTTCAGGTTTGCTCAGGTCTCTGCAGAATGTACATATCCACTCTCCACTAAAGAGAAAAACACAATTATTCCAGACATCCAGGGATAAATTCTCATCAGTGATGACTATAAGTAGTTTTTATTCACTCTTAAAGATTCACATTCTACTGCAGTAAAAACGTGGACACCCAAAGCTAAGGAATGACCCTTAATGCTCACAAGAATTCTCTCAGTCAATGCCATTTTTCCTGCCCTCTTATGATGCCTTAATACCTCATAACACCTTTCTCACCTTGCCTTAAAATTAATTTCACACAAGAGAATCGCATTGGGAGACCTTACGCAAACTACAGATGAACACCACAGGATTCTGTTATCAGATAAACACAGATCAGCTACACACAAACGACTTAGACAAGGCTTTGGGAATGTCATATTTCTGTAGTATAAGAAACCACCCAGAACAAGCTGATTTTGGAGGAAACACCAGTTTAGGTTCTGTGCACAATCTCAGCCCACACGGCGACACTGCTGCTGGTACCTGGGGAAGCTGAGGAGTGTGGGGACGTGACAGGTGAGGTGGAACACCTTGGGGCACTTCTCACAGCACAGCAGGTCCCCCCCGTTCTGGCACACAGCACACCAGTCCTCATTGGGGTCGTCATCCTTGTTATTCCCTTCTCCTGCCACTCGGGCCGAGCGGTGCATGAGGCTCCGCACCGGTGATTTCCCGTTCACCAGACTGTGCCCAGACTGTTTGCAGCTCTCACTCAGATCTGCTGGCTCTGTCTTCACATGGTTTTCCAGGCTTCCCAAAGCTTCCAGTTCACTCTCCAGGTGTAAGTTAGTGGACAGTGGTGGTGTCAAGCTGCTCTCAGGGCTGCTGAGCTGGAATGAAAGTAGCACACTGAAAATCAGAGTTGATTTTACAGCAGCATCTTTCTGCCTGTGGTGGAATTCAAAAGCCTCCCACCATTCAAAGGTACCATGCTCATATCCCAAAAAAAACCACTGGAAAACATGAAGAAGAGCTGAGTTGCACACAGTAAAGAAAACTGCTTTTTCACATGTCCTTTCTTAGAAGAACACACTCATTTCTTCTGATACAGAAGATGAGAAATGCTACAAGCCAAACACACTAAGTCATTAAAAGCTGTTAATGGCAACTTCATTGTCACTAGGAAAAATCCTCAACTCCAGCTCCCTGCACACAATCCTGGTCAATCAAGCATCATTGGGAAACACTGAAAAATAGTAATTTGCTAATTATTTAATTTATACTTTGGTCTAAGAACTTCTGACTGACTGGAGGTTTTCTGAATGCAATTACCTATGTGGAAATGTCCACTATCAATGGGTGACTCACAGCTTTTATTAATTAGGGACTAAAAGCAGCAAATACACTCTATAACACTTCATTTTAATAAGTAAAGATAAAATTTACATTACAGACCATCCTGTGCCTGGCAGAGCATTACCAGGAAGACAATATGTCTTAGAACGAAGCTTTAGAGTAAAAATGCTTTTTTTTTTTCTTTTCTTTTCCAAATTCTTAAACATGCAGCCAGGAAAACCACAACACACTGGGCACAAACTAACTTTACCATGCAAGCACTTCTTCTGCCATCCTCTGTTTTTTCCTGCTTTACTGTTCCTGAGAAACTGCAGATCTCTTCCTCTGTGCCTGGCTCTTGCTTTACTTTCACTTGGTCAGCCTTGAAGCCTCCTGCCTGAGGAGCCACAGCTGCAAAGACATCAGCATATCATGAGATAAAAATAAGAGGATAAATCAACAGGGCAAAGAAATTTAGGTAACCTTTCTCAAGAGAAAGGCAAAGGGTGTTAGAACATTTACAACAGCTCCAGTTTACAAGATAGAGAAGAACCATAGCACAGGGAAAAAAAATTAAAAATATAAATCTTCACATAAGCGTTCTTCCATTACTCCATCACAGTTATGGCAAAGCACAATTTGCCAACTGCCAATTCCTTTTTGGAATTCTTCATGTCTGACTTTTTTTAGCCTGACAGTGTTAATGTGACACTCACCTTCCTCTGCTGCCTGTGCTGGAGGTGCTGGGGGGCCTCACGGGAGTGTGGGAGTTGGATAAACCTGCAAAGAAGCAGCAGAGAAGCTGATTTGGTACAAGTTTACATTCACTGACTAATGCTGAGTAATCCCAGAAGTGTTGCAGGAATATCCTAATTTACTAAGTCACCTAAGGCAGCTGTTCTTTCAGTCTTTTGATCACAACAAATCTAGCACATCACACTAAATAAAAATGTGACAACAGTTCTTAGAGTCCAAATAATTATTTCACCTAATCCAAACAGTGCTAAACCCTTTAGACCATTATATCCTCAAATTTTATGCACTGAGAGCCACCAATAAAGTCAAAAAAGCAGCCTCTGCACGGTTTGCAGGCAGGTTTTGAGAAACACAGGAAGCCCCACTGCTGCATCCATTCATTTACAAGATCTTACAAGTCTTGTAGAGAAAACCAAGAGAAACATCAAGTCCCAGAATGGTTTGGGTTGGAAGGGACCTTAAAAATCACCCAGTGCCAGCATCTGCCATGGCAGGGATACCTCCCATCATCCCAGGCTGCTCCAAGCCCTGTCCAGCCTGGCCTTGGACACTTAAATGAATCCAGGGGCAGCCCCAGCTCCTCTGGGCACCTGTGCCAGGACATCCCCACCCTCACAGGAAAGAATTTCTTCTTACTAACTGAAATAATCTCTTTACTCATAGAAATAGAGATTTTCAATGTTTAAATAGCTCAGAATTAGGTACTGGTGACTTTGTTCACATGCATAAGAAAAGCTCTACCATTAATTAGTTATACTCAGAATGACCCTGCCAGTGCCTCTATATGGATCTGCAACACTGCATCCATGTGCTGGATAAAGTTGTGTCTATAAAGACATTTTTGAAGAACAGTAAAATTTAAATTTCCAGAAGAATCTATTTCTGAGCAAAACAAACTTTAAATAAAACATCACTTCCCTTCTGGCAGGAAGAGAAGGCAATTATTCTCAACTTAAATACCAGAAATACCCATCACTTTCTGGATCTCTAGAAGAACCCATCAGATTTACCTGATGATCCTGGAGACAGAGCTGAAGGTCCTGGGGAGGGATTCATGGTGCTTGTAGGCTGTGGTGGGAGGTGGCTGCCTGTGATGTATCTACTTAGCAGATTATCTAAACTGCTGGAACCAGCATCTTCCAGCTAAGGAGGAAAACAAAAATCTGAATCAGAGAGGTCTAATTCAACTTTCATACCAGTTCCATCCCTTTAAACTGTGATCAGTATCTTTACTAGAATTCCCTCTCCCTTCAAGGGTTCAGGACATCAGCAAATACTTTCATCAGTTTCATGCAGAGATCAGGCTTTCAAATCAGAAGCTTCAAGTAATGTTTCTCAAAAGCTCTTAAATCTGAGTTTTTCCAGTATGATCCTGAGCTGACTCACACAAGGTCACTGCAAACTTTCTGGTTCCCAGCTGCTCAGTGCATTGGTCACACTGGTGTTGTGTTAGTCATGAACTACCAGATTACTGAGGCTGCAAAGGTTATTCCAGAATTATGACATTAAGGGAAGCCATAATCTTGTCTTTCCTTAACGAGATGGGAAATCTCCCACTCTCACTTTTCAAACAGATTTTAGTACCTGTTAAAGCCAAAGAAACAGGGACCCTGTTGCTATAACTGCTTAAATGTGTTAAATGCAATAATGTGTTTGAAACACTCTGCATTCCAAGTAGGTTTTAATGACTGAGCCAGCAGCCTAAAGGACTAACACTTCCTACCCATTAAAAATCCAACTAAAATCCACAACAGCTATTACATGAATGGGTATAAAAAGAAAAGTATCTTAGCAGAATTCTGCATTTTCAGTGCACCTGGAAGTTGCACGGTAATGCTTTGGACTATCCCACAATTTCTAATCTGGTATCTGATGAGTTTCACACACTCAGCTGAACGTGCCACAACCACTCACACTGGTGTTTGGTTCTAAAGCCTCAGCACTGCAGATTGCTGCAGCCTCCTGAGGAGGCTCAACATACCAGCCCTGAACACTTAGGAACTGCAAAGTTCTCAAAGATATTCCAGCAGATCATCTTGGATGAAATTTGTTTCCTGTATCGTGACCAAACCTCCTGGGTTTTACACAAGCATTTCAATGGAAAGATGCTGTTCTCAGGATGAAGCCATCATCCTCCTCCCCTCCTAAACACTCCTGCAGAAAACACATTACTTTTACTTCCTTTGCCTCCACATGAACATCACATTGTGCTTTTCCCCTCTCCAAATGAGCTCGACTTCTACATCTAACTCAGCCTGTTTCCCCTCTGTGGGACAATGGGACATGTCCCCTCTGTGCTTCCTGTTCCTTCTAGGAATATTGAAGAGAAACTCCAGGCAGCTTTAACCCTGAATAAATCACCCTTCAGGGCACTCAAAATAATACATCACTATTAATTATTCTACTGATATCTTCCCACAAGATGGTGTTGTAGAAGAAAAGAAGTAAATACCGTTCTTGAGATTAATTAAGGGTTAATTTTAAGGGTTTAATTTTAATTTTTATTTAAGTCTTAATTTTACTACAGGACACATTAAATATAGATTAATCTAAAGGCTATCAGGCAGAGCAGGTCAGCCCTATATGGATAAACCAGCTACAAGCCTATTTTAATTCTATGTTGGAGTCAGAGGCACAGAGAGTGTGCCCTTATCTCTAATACCTCTGACATCCAAGAAAGCACTGAATTTCATATAACATTCTGAAAACAACTGTTAAAGTTAAATAGAAAAACTAAGAGTGTAAGTGTGTAGATTAGAAAGTTTTCTTAAGTCACTGGGTGAAAAAGTTAGAGTTTAAACTAGTTTAAAAAACCAAAGACAAGATGGAGGATTCAGGGTGCTGTCTCTTGTCCTTCTTTCTTCTTCAAGAGGTTTTTGGGTAGTAATAAGTGATTGGATAGAAAATGCCGCAGCGCAGCACACAGGTGTTGGATCATTGAGTCACTAGGAAAAATCATTTACTTGGTTAATTAGGTAAATAGACATAAAAAACCTTGAAGAAGTTCCTTGTTAGCCATTTTGCACCTTTCTATCTTAGTGCATATAGCTCCTTGTACCTTGTGTATATGTAATATAGATAAAAGAAGAATAAACAACCAAGTCCAAACAAGAGAAAACTGCCTCTCTCTCATCAATCTCAGTCCAAGGGGAAAAAGAACCCAACCGTGAATGTCCTATCAAGACAATTCTCCAACTTGGAATGATAACAACACAATTCCATGGGTGAGTGCTGGTGACCAGCTACAAAAGCAGAGAGAGAGAGAGAGAGGGGAGCTGCACTGACCTGGATGGGAGGGATGTCCGGCAGGGAGGGCAGGTTCTCCGGGTTGGTGACGGACGGGATGAGCTCGATGGCCGACACGGACGGGCTGGTGGGGCCGCGGTTGGCGCTGGCCATGGTGGCTGTGGTGGGGCTGGTGGGGTTGATGGTGGTGTTGTGCACGGAGACCACCGGGAAGGGCCCCGCGTGGCCGGGGTTGGAGTGCTGGGGAGACACAGACACCGGGCTGGGTCACGGGGCCCTGGGGAGAGACCTCAACCCAAGTGGGGCAAAACTCACAGCTAGCATAGCAACTGCCAGCACTGAGGGCAGAGCAACTGCTATTCTTCTTCACTTGGAAAGGAAAAAATACTTTATGTGGCTGGATTTTAAATAGACAGCACTTCTTCCACCGAATTATTTCCTATATAGTTGTGTTTTCTTAAACCAGTTACTTCCTCCAAAGATATCTTTAGAGTTTACATGTCTAATTCTTTTTTCTAAGATAAAATTAACTGTTTCAAGTAATATAGTCACTTTTGGTATTTCAGTCACATTAACGTTCACTGTCAAGGATTTTTATTCTTAATGGCATGCAGAGCTCTGCATCAATGCTTCAGGTGTGAATTTGAAAACACTTCAACAGCTGATTTAATCAAAACCCCTCAACTACATCACTTTGAACTTCACTACTCCTCACTATTCTCTAATAAACCTCTGAATGTTTTTTTCAGCTGAATGCCACTGAAAAGTGCAAAAGGAAACATTTTCCTTCCCAGAACTAAACTGCAATGCAAACACTGGCTTTCATTTCCACCGCTAAGGTTTGAATTTCCTTATGTTCAGCAAAACTGTCACAGCACAGTAATGCAACATGGAATAGAAGCATATAAATGTGTGTAGCTGTGAGCTACAGAGGGACAGATAAACACATTTACAGCTGGAGGTACCATCTACTGGAATGAAAGTCTGGCACAATGGCACAAATGAAGCGTGTACACAGGATATACTTGTCTTTGAAGGTGAGGTTGCATCATGGAGTATTGAGGTCCATTGTGGCGTGGGATTCCTGGTATACGAGCAGCATTCTGAGCCATTCTCATCTGATGTGCTTGGAAAGCCCCACAGTTCATGTTACCCCTCTGCATGGTCTGCATGCTGATCAACCTGGGAGGCTGCAAGGGTTTGGGTTTTTTAAAATTTGTGCTTTCAACATGGAGAAAAGAAGCCCATCTCTTTCCACAGCAGTAGTAACATAACATCAAGCAATTAAAGTATCTCAAATCTCAAAAATATTTTAGTTCATAAATTTCTTTATAAGTTTAGATTTGACAGGGCAACTTTAAATCTCAGTGTTATGGTGAAAGAAGGTGAAATAAGAACACATAAGGGACTCACCTGCTGCTGCAGGACTTGGGGGCTGCTCTGCCTGGGCACGGATGCAGATGGCTGGGCCATTCTCATCTGCTGCAGCTGCTGGTGTTTTTGGGCATACACTTGCTGCTGCATGTGCTGCAGTCGAAGCTGGGCCAGATTGATTTGTCCTGGAGCTTTGTTGACGTGGTTTGTTCCTGGAGGAGTTTGCCCAACCACTACATTGGGAGTGTAACTAGGGGTTGGTTTATTTTCAATGACCAAGTTACCTAAAAAAAACCCAAAAGCAGCAATCAACAGTTACATCTCATCATCCTCCAAAGGTTGGCATATGTGGAATATTCAGATGTTCCTAATGCAGTTTTCTCAGCACAATTTAAGTGTGAAATTACCTCTTTATGTCTTCAGTAACCATACACGATTAAAGCAAAAAGAGAATTCAGACTACAAGAACTAACTGCAAAATTAAAAACATGATCTGTGAGGGAAGAGTGAAAGAACTGGAAGTGCAAAGCCTGAAAGCCACAGCAGACAGAAATTACTTCTCTGTGTTCAAAAGAAATGGACAAGATGAGAAATAAACAGAAAACAAACATGTTGAACATGAAATTTCTGTGTCTAAAGACACAAAGCCTGGGAAGAGATATTTGAGTGTCCCACCACGGAATGACTTCAGACAGGTTCTACAAACATGAAACAGAACACTCCTACAAGCAAGTCCTGTCTTGCTCCAAAGTCATGGACCATGTTGCCTCTCCCCGTCCCATTTTTGTATGGAAAAGTCAAAATGTTGATTTTTGACTGTGAATGTGTACTCAGTGGAATCTGCAAGTTCCTTTTTATTCAGGTTGACAACTTACTTTCTGTTTCCTGTCTGCCCCAGAGAATAAATATCCTTGACTGAAGACAGGAATACCCCAACCTGGATGATGGACTCAGAGCAAGAAGTGAGTGCACACAAAAGTTGGTATTTTTATCAGATTTTCTTTGAGATTTTTATCCATCAGAGAAGTTCACGAGCAGGTGCAAACAGGTACCCCTGTCTCACTGTATTCTGCCCTCTTCTCTCATTCAAAACCTGTGCTTTACAAACTCTAAGTGATTATATTTAATATACTAGAAATGACACAGGTCTAATGTCCAGTCCAGAGAAGCTGTGGCTGCCCCAGCCCTGGAAGTCCAACCAAGGCCAGGTTGGACAGGGCTTGGAGCAATCTGGGATAGTGGAAAGTGTCCCTGGCCCATGGTAGGGGGTGGAATGAGATGACTTTTAAGGTCCCTTTCAATCCAAACCATTCTGTGATTAGGGCCTTTCCTAGAACCATTCCCACTGGAAAACAATATCCATTTAGAGAAAGCTTTGCTAATAGAAAGAACAGAGCAGATGAGGAGAATCTGGACTGGATGAGTTACGTCACGAGAATTTTGTCTCCTACATTAAGAGATGTATTGCACTGCACTCACTCCTGCTGGATGAACACCCCCAATTCAAGAGTTTTCCCAATATCACAGAATAAAAAACCCACAGTTTTCTCACCCAAATTGACAACATTCTTAGCCCAGAAGGTGGGGTCACAATGGAAGCGGATGGCTCCATTGGCAGCTGGGACGGGATCGCACCGGGCCTTCAGGATGTGCCGCAGCTGGAACGTTATCTGAGAGAAAACAAAAGCACTCTGCTGCTGACAAAGAAATCAATAATGAGAAACAAGTCTGTGATTGCCCTGAGAGTTTTGGCCATGGAACACCAGCAAGGACTGTCAGCAGCAAGTTTGGTTCATAGTCTGGAAAATTCTCAGTTCATTGGGAAAACCCCATATTGCACAACTTCTTTACTTTGAGGATTGCAGAGCAGCACTTCCACCACAACACTACTGCAATGACTCCAGTGAAACACTGAGGTGCCTTCACCGAGCTGACCCCATTCCTTCTACACTAACACTCCCTAAACCCTTATGGTAAAGAGTGAATTTGCTTTGCTCTGCTTTAAGATTTGAAGATATGGTACCATGAAGGGCCATGATGGACCCACATGGCAGAACTGGGCGTATCCTTCGGATTACCAACATTTGACCTCATCTGTGTCTTAATCTCACTATGGATACATTTGATTCCCCTGCTCCTCTGTGTTTGTGGCTCAGGACATGTTCCCAGACTGTGAAAGTTGGTGAGAATGATGGTCTACAGTACCAGTGGTGAGCACACCTCTGGGTGTACAGGTGAATGCCCTGCCCATGCAGAACTGGGTGTATCCATGGCAGGAAAAGTGAATTACTCTTTTGGTTACCAACACTTGACTTCGTGTCTTATCTTGCTCCAGGTATACTGGAATTTTTCCCCTCTCTGGACACAGGGATTGAGACAGAACTACACAGCCAGGTATGTGCAGCCACACGAGGAGTGCAGCACTTTGTTCTGCTGGAGAAGAGGGGCCTGCGGTCAGACCTCACTGAGGGCTGCAGCTTCTTCCTCAGGAGCAGCAGAGGGACAGCTCTGATCTCTGTGAGCAGGGACAGGAGCCAGGAATGGCTGGAGCAACATCAGAAGAGGGTTAGGTTGGATCTCAGGGAAGTTTCTTCCCCCAGGAAGAAAAAAAGCACTGCCCAGGCTCCCCATGGAATGGGCACAGCCTCGAGGCTGCCAGAGCTCCATAAGTTTGGGCACTGCTCCAGGGATGCCCAGGGTGGGGTTTGGGGTGTCTGTGCAGGGCCAGGGGTTGGACTGAATGACCCCTGTGAGTGAGTCCCTTCCAGCTCAGGGGATTCTCTGGCTCCCAGCCCCAGGGTGCCCTCACCAGGCGCTTGCTGTAGAGCAGGGCAGTGCTGCTGCCGCTCGCGATCGCCCAGTTAGTGAAGTTCATCACATGCTTCACTTGTCGTGACAGACCAGTGATGTCATTCTGCTGCTGTATCAACTTCATCTGTCTCTCCTTTGTTACATTCTGCAAAGAAACAAACTTTATTACAACTGGGCTTTCAGATGTAGGAGGAAAATGTAAATTGCTGTCAGGTTTTGGATCTAAAGGAAAACAGCCCAAGAAAATTTTAAACAAATGTTTCTTTAAACAAGAAAAGCCAAAATTTATGTAATTTTACATTACTTCTTTTACTAATGATCAAGTTACTCTATTCTTCCAGGAACATTTGATTTCCTTGCCATATAATTGTTCCTTAAGCAGGAAAAATCTATTATGATTCATCTGATCTTAAATTTTTCATGGCAGCCTGGCTATATGCACTGAACCAACTTCATACAATGGATTTCCTCCTTTCAGATAAAAGAAGTAAGTTAAATTTTCTAGGATTTTAATAAAAGTCAGAATGCAGTTATTCATAATGTGCCATCTGGAAAGGATGCTTGAACTCACTGTCTCCTTTATTATGCTCTATTATACAACTTTAAATACCAGCATTACACCTTCATGTACAAATGAAACTGCTCTGTCTGTTCCTACATGAACCTTAAAAAGCTATTTGAGGAAATAATTAAATTATACACACCTTAGAATTATGTTATAATACAGAAATATGGCAAACAGAGCATGAAAAGGAGATTTTCAGACACTTCTTTACAATGAGTGCTATTTTGAATATGAGGCATACACACCAAACTGAAGGAGCTATGGGCTTTAATGAGAGGAGAAACAAGAGATTTAATTCCACCATGCCACTCAGAGGCAGTTTCAGTACCACAGCACCTGCATTCACACCAAACAAACCATTTTCAAATGTGAGTCCTCAATAAAGGACTGGAAACTCAACACCACCATTCCTTTTTATTTCAAGTGTACCTCAAGGTGCTGTAGGAGAGATTTTCCCTTTTTATTGATTTCATTGATGAGGGTGAATATAGCCACTTTGATTTCCTGTTCTACTCGTTTGTTGGTTTCATTTACTTCTTTTATCCTAAAAAAACAATAACAAAAAAAGCAGTGGATTGTCAGGCACTTTACACTTCACTGCCAAATACAAATTCACAACTAGTTTTACTTCAAGTATATGAAAGTCCTTGTAGTTTACATACTTTATATAGAGAAATATAGAGAAATAACCAGCCATAACCACATGTGTCTGTATGTACATTTACACATTTATATCCAAATTCTGTCACTCACTATGAAAAAATTATATCTGATGCTTTAAACTTTTAAGATAATTTATATTAACCAGAAAAGAAATCAACCTTGAATTTCAAATTAATTCCTCCCTTGTAACAAAAAAGTTATTACAGACCTGTAATTAATACACAATAAAGACATAAACACTTCACTAATAATGTGCCTGGTATTAGTCTAGATTATTCTCTTGTGCTTTACTACTACTGGCTGTCAGATTTTTGTACTCTCTTCATCACTGCCATTCTTCCTCAGTTTTAGTGCATTTGCTTCTTCAGATTCAAGCAAATCATCTTGAGCTCTGCCCACAGAATTTGAAATAGTGTTTCTTAAACGCATGGAAATTCTGGATTTATTTGATCCTTAATCTAATGAGATTACATTGCTGCAGAACCTTAGCCATGAGCCAATGGAAGATGTAAATTGTCCTTTTTTTAAGAGCTTTTTTGCTGCCAGATGAAGGATCTGATGTCACTCAGCCACAGGACCAACACTCCTTGTCTGATGATGAACATGCTGGGGTCAAAGCCCTTTAAAGCACTGTCTTGGATTGCAATGCAGGATGTAACCTAAAGTCTGTATTCTATTACCATTTCAAAACCAGGTGGGACAGAGTTCTTTATCTCTTCCATGACCCATCCTCCCTGCAGGGGCATCTCTTCTGCTAATGGGCCATTGAGCCTCACTGCAGGACTGATAAAATTCCATCATCCCACTGTGAGATGCTCCACCCAGTGGGAGGAGCCAAGCATTCCTACCTGGATATAATCTGGGATTTAGAGCACCAGAGTCAGCCTTTCTCCACTGGACTCCCAGAGGAGACCAGACCCATTTCACCACTACTGAACCTTCAGAAGAAAACTACACCCATCTACAGGATCACTGCTCCAATAGAACCACATCTGTCACCCCAGGACTGCAGCCACCATTTAATGGGACTGCTCCAAACACCCTGCCCAACAGTGTCAGGCTGTACTCTTGACTCTGTTGTTTTCCTTTTGTTTGTTTTTTTCTTGTATTACTGCATTTTAATTTAATTTTTAATTTTCCTAGTAAAGCACTGTTATTCCTATTCCCATATCTTTGCCTGACAGACCCTTGATTTCAAGATTATAATAATTCAGAAGGGGGGGATGGGGGTTACATTTTTCCATTTTAAGGGACATCCCTGCCTTCCTTAGCAGTCTTTTCAAACCAAGACACATGTGGTTTTTCATGACAACCTGGTCTCCCACTCCAAAAAACACCCAACCAACCCTTCATTAACTCCATGGCATCCACCTTGGCTTTGGTACCCAACAGTTATTCCAGCAGAGCTCTTCCTTTAACACTTCCAAGTTCCACCATCACAGATGATGGTGACTTTGTACCATCTGCCAACACTGGCAACAAGATTGCAATAACTTTCTTTTTCCCATTCCCTGAAGTTTTTACCATGATGGATTTTGTGTCCTACACACCAGCAAAGCAGTGTAATGAATTGCCTCACCTGCACCAGCCATTTGGCTCAGCAGGAAATTGAGATCTTGACACAACTCAATCCCACGCTGCAGAAATTCACTGAAGCCAGAAACTCTTGGGCAAAAAACCTCCCCCATTACAATTTGTTACTCACATGTGCATCACCCATTCCTGGCCTGGAATTCCTATCAGAGAATGTTTTGTGATATTTCTTGAGCTTTTAGATTAATTACTGCCTATGTGACTGCACTTCTGTCTCTTCAAGTGTGTAAAAATTCTATGCTTCACAATAGTGTTGTATTTTGGGACCTTTCAAAGACTTCCATGGAAAATCAGCACATAAAAATACCAAAAAAAAGTAATTTTTATTACTTTCTTCTTCACACATTTGCCTCTGTCATGCTGTATGTTCTTTCCTCCCTTACACTGCTTTTTTTTTAAATGTAGATGGCACCACGAGGAGTTAAAAATTTGCAGAACTTCTCTTTCTATCCGCGGTGCACATCCTCCTCCTGCCCTCGTACTTTCCACCCCCAACTGATGTGTCAGTTTGCAAATGACCTAAAAGTTGCAAAGGCTCACAAAACCACTGAGAATCATGTTGGAATTCCCTGAGCTGCAGCACAACCACGTCACCCAAGTGGGTGCAAAGCCACCAGAGATCACGTGCTCCCTCTGCCTCTATATTCAGTATTTAACATGACGCTGAATTTCAGATAACCCTGGAAATCTTAAGTGAAGCTACCTAAAAAAAAAAAAACCCCACAACCAACCACAATTTCCTATTCAAATTCACACCAAGTTTTTGTTACACAGCTGTCAGAGGCGTTCATAAGGAATATAAAAATATTTTAACATTTCAACCTTTCTGTCACCTAGAGCTAACTTAGAAGAAACCATAGGATGGGTTTTCTTGCCTTTTTTATTTCTTTTTCTCCCCCATCCCCAAAATGTAAGAAATATGGCACATCTTTGGTTCTATTCAAAGTTGTCACTAAAGACAACCTTTAACATTTGTTGTAACAACTTCCAAGACATGCAGAGTCTTGTAGGTGGGAAAATATCATTATGAATAATAATTAAGATATATAGTTAACTCCAATGTATTATTCCAGTCCCATCATTCATCTTACTGTGATTCATTAAAAAGCCAGTGAAATAGCTGATCATTTTGGGCAACTCACCTATTTTGAACTTGGGCAGCTGCAAAATTTACATAATTCTTCTTCTCAAGAAGTTTGACCAACAGGTTCTCAATTGCACCCTTCTGGTTCTGAAAAGCTTCTTCCAGGAACTGGTACCTTTTCAACAGGCAAGAGAAGACACTGATTAACAAGGGGCAGTGGGCTGAAACTCAGGGTTCCCAGTTTAGGTATAAAGCCATGAAATTTTGAAAAAAATACGACAAAACACTGAGAAAAACTAGACTCTGCATAGTCTGACCAGTGTGCAAAATGTTTAAATGCTGATAAAGTCCTTTGCTACTGGCCAGGAGACCAAACCTCTGTGGGAATTACCAATTCCAACCACACAGAGATGCACTGCATTGTTTCCCAGCATAGCAGGCTATGGAACAGGAACCTGAGAGTTTGATGAGGAAAATGCACCAATAGCTTAAACACACATTAAAGGATTCCCAAAAAAAAAAAACCAAAAAACAACAACAACCCTAAACTATCCCAAGTTGCCCAGTTTTTCAGCTGAGATGACACTATTCATATATGGCTGCATTAGTTTAATCTGAAGAAAATTTCCCTATTAAAAAACTTCAAGTTTTTTCCACCTCTAATACTTCCAAGTGAAGAACACAGTACCTTCCATTACTTCATCTGAAAAGAGAGCAAGTACCAACACTGAGGGAAAATAACAGGATTAGGTGCCTTTTCCTAAAATATTGGAATTAAGAATGCCACAGAAGCAAAATGCCTCTGCTGAAAATGGAAAAGGGGAATTAAAGCAGCTCCATGAATTTCCATGTTTTCTGATCAACTGCTCAAGATCCAGGATTCCTAACAGTCACTTGTTAAGTCTTATTTTTGCAATAAATAAACTTCATGCTTCTGAAATGTAATTTGTTAAGAACAGGGAAAACTTAAGGTCCCAGAACACCTTGGCAATGTTTTCCCAATATTCAGATTGGCAGAAAATTCCTACAATTAATGAAGCATTCTATAAAGTGCATTAGAAACAACTTACACCATCTCCCAAAGAAAAGGAAGAAGACAATAGTGTTGTTTTCTGTCAAAATCCAAAACATTACAATCCAACAGGAAAAGACTGTCTGGATTGTCATCAAACTCACACCAAGACAGTTTTATTATTTAAATGACTCATAACCATGATAACAGGGACTCAGAAAAAGAACATCATTCACAACAAAAACAACTCTGCTCCTGTTAATTCAGTTTGTACCAGAAACAGACAAGTCTGAACTCTAAGAATCCAGATTCTTCAGTCTCAATGCTGGAATTTTGCTCTTTCTAAGAACAGTCTAAAGTTCTTGCAGACAGACAGCAGCATGAGATTTTAGATAGTATAATACTAAAAAGTAGCATTCCTAAGGCCCAAACACAGCAAAATTAGAAATGTTTGGGAACTGCTGATTTTCTGAAATGATTTTCATTAAGTTCAAACTCATATTTTCACTTGAAGGAGAAATGAAAAATCTACATTCAGCTCGTGCTGCTAAAATTTTGCTGTAGCTCATGCTAAAGCCAAAATACTTTTTTTCAGTATTGTATTTCCAGCTTCCCAAGTGTGTGGACTGGAAACTACCCAAATTAGAGGAATCACACAGGCTGCTAAAAGAATTGTCAGCTTTCTACAGAATCCCCAGCAATCCTTGCCCATTACAAGGGTGAAACTGGATGATCTTTAAGGTCCCTTCCAACCCCAAACCATTCTGGAATTCTATGACTGAAACTCTGAACACTGGACCATGGAGCTACTGAAATGCTGATTCCTCTCCTTTGGTGTAAACTGTTTGGATTTCAGGTAAGAAGAAAACAGGGGATTAAAATCAATTCTTTCTCCACTTGGCATGATTCTCCACAAAATCTCAGCTGTACTTCAGGCAGACAAAGCAGTGCCTTAATCATCTGTAATTCACACCTGCACACAGAACCATATGGAAATATTATTCTGAAAAAACAAAAGCACATTAATAACAATGAATTCTCTTTCTAGAAGAGTACAGGTAGGTAAGACAAGATCCATCTGTTAATCTATTAGCAACATGCATAAAACAGATGCAAAGAAACCAAGTTAGTGAATATATCAAGGAGAGCAGCCTTTGTGATCAGGGAGTCATCCAGGATGCTTATGATCAAGCCTATGAAAGAACACAGCAGGAATATTTGAGGGTGTTAATGTTTTAATAAGAATAATTTCAAAAGTAAAAATTCTCCACAGGCTGCTGTAGCAGTCTGAGAATAATCACTGTTCTGAAAAAAACACCTCTAAATTCAATATTACACCTTTACAGAGAAGAGTTAAGGAAAAGCAGTGGTGCAGTGGTTGATAAATGTGCTCTCTCCAGATTCTCTCTTATAACACTGAAAAATATTTGTTCAGACATTCAAACAACTACATGACAGAGCTGCTAAAGAGCAGGAACTCAGAATGTGTCTTAAAGGAGTTCCAACTCTTTTTCTAGCGCAGGCAAATCCAACATTTCTTTTTACTTGGAATGAGGCAACTTTTAACCAACTAAGCCCAAACAATTTTTCCTCTCTGCACTAGAAGAATATACCAATGTAAGAGGCAAAATTTAGACTTTCCTTTACAAAATTCCCTTAAAGACTGTTGCACAATCATCTAAGCCCTTTCAGAAAATTACCTCACCCATGACTCACTCCATCACTTTTGCTTCTTTTACAGCACCAGGTGTTCAGGGCTGCAGGAATTTCCATTCAAATCCCAAACACAGTGACAGCCCTGGGAACTGCCAAGCAAATTAACACCTGAATCACATCAAACCTCAGCCCATCTTTGTTTGGTTCTGATCTTAAGAGACTTGACAAAACTCAACCAACTGACCAAGTTTTCATCACTCACTCAAGTTCTCCTTTGCAAGGGATGGTTTCAGTCCAACAAGCACTAAATGCAGCAGAATTTCCAACACAAGCAGCTCACATCAATGCCACTTCATCCTCTGAGACAGCACATCACAGGAGTTAAGACATGGGAATATTTGTACCTGTGTTCTTTGTGTTCCAATAACTGACAGTCTCTGCATGTCAGCCTGTCACAGGTTTCACAGAAAAGTTTTAACTGCTCTTGTTTGTGGACAGGGCAGAAAACAGGACGTTGACCAGATGCTCCCACGGCCTCTGTTTTTAAAAACAAACCATTTGTGCATTTTAAAAGAAAATTTAGACAATCTGAAGAGCAAAACAACTAACTTCCAGTAACAACCAAGAACTTGCAAAGGCACCTCCAGGTCTGTTCTCATGCTGCAGTTACTGTGAGTACATCAGGTCAGGGGCTGGAGCTGATGATCTCACAGGTCTTTTGCAACCTTCATGACTGATTTACTGTGCCAGTGGTTAATAAAGTTTTCACTTTATTCATTCAAGGAGAAGGAGAAATTAATCTTTTCTCATGAGCACCCAAAAGGCCCTGTAAGACTGCACACAAACACCAGCACCACGTATATGTGCTCATAGAGATTTAATTCCATACAATTTCACCTCTGACACACTGAAGGATGGGTCAAACCTCTCAAACCTTTCTATTTTTGACCCCATGGGGTTTTCTAGGTTATCCCTTCAAACACCTCATTTAGTCAAACACAACTGAAGTGGGAACTGCAAAGCAAATGTTCCCTGTGTTAAGAGTTACTTAAACCCCCAAATAACAAGTCATGGCAAAAAAATAGTTCTGGGTTTACTAAAAAAGTGCTGCACCATGTTCTGAAGATATTTGGAGTTTAGCAAAGAGGAAAGCAGCCTTTGGAAGGTACAGCAGGTAAGGTTTAAAACATGAACATTTCCCTCACTCTAACATTTCTGAAGCTGGTTATATCATGCAAGTTATTATAAAGAAAGAGCTGATGAACCTATAGCTGCCACTCACTGAGAGAAATTTAAAATCTCCAGGGCACATCTTTGAGTTTAAGAAGAGAAAAACACAATGACCAGCTCTTCCCCACAATCACAATTAACAACATTTCTGACAGAAAGTTTATTTTATTGGAACAGTCACTTTCCAGCTCCTTCCCAGCAGGTATCAAAGGGAAAGCTGGGCTGTAATATCACATTGAGAGTCACAATTTAGCATTCCTTGTAAAAACAGCAGTAATTCTTTCTCAGTCCCTATAATTTGATTGAATGTAAGGGTTTCTCATCTATGAGGCTTAATGCATTTAATCTTAAATGGATAACATTTCTTATTAAAGATATTCATTAAGACATAAAGAGAAGCCTCTCCAAAATGAGGTTTATTTGATAGAGCAAAGGAAATAAGATCCGTGTCTGAAAGAACTAAGCTCAAACAGCAAACTTTTTAACTATTAAACCATTTTCAGAAAGAAAAGTACTGTTTGCTCCTTTGAAATGATACAACAAAACAATTATGAAGATTTTAATTAATTTTAAATTAATTTAAATGAAGAGAGCAAAGTGTCAAGATTTCCTCAGTATGATCATTCTTCAGGCACAGACTGAGAACCTACAAGACTTTAAAAAAGAATTTTTAACCCATTTACAAGTAGAATTTTTTAAGCTAAAATCAGATACCCTGGACCTTTTTGGAGAACATTTCCCACATTACCTCAACAGGCTATACATGAGAAAACCCAGATAGCTTGGACCTGTTCTGAGATGATTTTCCACATCACCTCAATAGGCTACAAATGTTATATGATCAAACAACAGTTTAAGAGTTTACTTCTAATAAGGCTGCACACCTAAACAAACCCTACACACACACTTCATGTATTAAATTTTGCTCACTGAGAGATTAAACCTAAAATGGATTAAAATTCTACATTTTCTCAACAATATCAATACAAAGTAACACCATATATTGATGGCAACTATAAACTTATATATACATTTCTACAGCGAGAACAGAAATTGCTTCTTATAACAAAATGCAGCAAAATGTGTAATTTTCTTGGACAATGGATAAGACTATCAATACGCCTCTGCTCTCCAGATTCCAACCCCTCCATTTAGTTACTTGTTCTACTAAACAGAAAGATAATTAAGAATGAGTGTAAATACTTTCCAAAGGCATTGGACATCAAACTACACAAAGTATCACTAAATATATATGTATAACTGTCATAAATTCTGTTCTTCTATTATTACAGCCACTAATTTTGAACTGGTAACTTTTTACTGTGTTTTTCCCAAATCCTGGGGGAAAGACACAGAGTTGGTTGTTATCTCTATCATCCTCCCCCTCTCTTTTAACATATAATGAGCAAAGGCTCTTGGAACATGCAGGACAAAGTGACACCCAACACTCACCTGATGACACATCCTCTTTTTTCCTGATCATGTGATCTTTAGTAAACTTTACTCGCTGGTGAGCTTCTATGCAGGTCTTACACAGCCATTCCCCACATTCCACACAGAAACCCACGGCACTGGCATTGTCCTCGCAGCTGGTACACACCTGCAGGTGAAAAGCCACCAGAATGGTCCTGGGGAGCACTGACAGCCCCAGAGAGCAGAAAGGGCTGGGGAAACAGCACCAGGATTGTTCTGGGGAGCACTGACAGGACCAGAGAGCAGAAAGGGCTGGGGAAACAGCACCAGGATTGTTCTGGGGAGCACTGACAGGACCAGAGAGCAGAGCAGGGCAGGGGAAAGGGCACTAGAATGTTCTGGGGAGCACTGATGTCCCAGAAATCAGAGGAGGGTTGGGGAAAAGGCACCAGAATTGTACTGGGGAGCACTGACAGCCCCAGAAATCAGAGGCTGGGCAGGCAGGGAGGTCCCTACCTGTTCTGACTTCTCGTCGGAGCTGCTGGGGCTCTCTGAGGTGTCCTTCACAAAGTAGTTGTCCACCAGGTCAATCTGCCGGCACTCCTGGCGGCAGATCGGGCACCGGATCACCCCCACTGCAAAACACAGCAGCCCACAGACCTTTAGGGCAACAAAACTCACAAATCAACGTGGCCAGGAGCACAGAACACAAAGCACACTCCTTGTTTCACCTGGGTAAAGGATTCCACAGTTGATATTGTCATTAAAAGCCAGCCATTGCAGCTGTAGAACAGGTTTCACCCCAAAATATACTCCCTCAACCAATCCCAAAAACCCTCCACAAATCTCTACAGGAAAGGATTCCCCCACCTAGGTGTGATAATTTCTACATCATACTTTTTTTCCTACTTATTTCTTCCAAAAAAATCCTATTTTTTAGCCAAGTAATTTGTTCTCTCCAAGCGAATATTTAATTTTTTCTTCTGTTCATTTTAGATTACAAAACTCAAGACATTTGGTTTTTAATTATTTTTTAGAACAGTCTGTGGTCCAGCCTGTCTCAAGACAAGCATTAAGAGGCTGTGCCCAGGTAGCTGGGGTGACTTTAGTGATGTTTCCGAAAACTCCATGGCAGGACCATGCTCTCCCAGGCAGGCCAGGAAGATTTTTAATATAATCTATTTCCATGAGATCAGATGAAACAATACAATACCAGCATCCTGTTTTGTTATCCTTTTTAATCACTAAATTAGTTTTAAATCCTCAGCAGAGCTGCAAAGAAGTTACTACATGAACAAAATTGACATTTAAAGATGTCTATGAACAACCCCCGTAAAGGTTTGAAAAGCTATTTATAACTTAGGTAGTGGCTCACACTTCAAAGAAGTGTCATTTGATCTTAAATCAAATTTCTATACAATTTATTGAGAATATAATCTTCAAGAAGCTTTCCAAGTCATTGGGTATTTTTATACACTAAAACAACTTTGAGGAGTGTAATTAAATGATGCTCAGCTCCTTTGTGGATATTCAATTAGGACAGCAGGCCTTATTTCAGGGAGATTAATTACATTAGTAGTGGAGTAGTATTAATATTTTCAAGTGCTAAAATTAATGATGGCTTCAGAACACAGGAGATTCACTGCAGAGCAACAATAATCCAACTAAAAATTCCCTGTCTCACCAAATCAAACAGATCTCAAGAGCAGGATATGAGAAATAACCAGTACTGCAGCAGCTACACGTACAAGAGCTTTCACACACAGTGAAACCTTCTTCATATGCTGAACTTTGAGGTTTTCTTACAACTGAGAGACAAAATTCTTTAGGGAATACCAGCTGAAGTGTATATACTCACAGAACAAAAATTTCATGTATTTACCATTAAAACTACTACATCCAAACCAAACCTAACCTAAACTCAATTTTTAGTCCTACCTTGGGTCCAACACACAAAATATTTCAGGAGAACAACAAAACAGAAGAAGCTCAAGGTTTGTAATCTCTAGACAACAGCAAGTCAAATCCTATAGATGAAAACACCTTCCTGCATGGCAACTTTTGTGTTGGTTTTAAAGTAACCAATGAAAGCTTCAATAAAATCAAGCTTTTTGATCCAAGTGAGAGCCCACAGGCTGGATTCTGGCCAGGGGTAATTCCACCTTGTCCACTGCCCCTGTCAGAGGACACAGGGGATGGGCAGGTCCTGCTCTCACAGTCCAAAACCTAATTTTTGCACTTCCACATTCAAATAAAACCTGCACACACCTCAAGAGACCAAAACCCAAAGACAAGGCCTTGTCATTCTCATTTAGCACATTACACACCTTTTCCATATCTCAACACCCTTTACTGGCAGCAGTAGCTTTCCAATAATAGATGAGCCACTAAACATCTAATATCCTGGTCTTTTAATCTAATAAAAAATAAACTGCTGCAGCACTATTTGTACTAGAAACTGAATGTACTGAAAATATACAGATGTGGCTAATTTTGTGAGGCAAGAGAGAAAACTAGAGAAAATCACACTGAAACAGCATTTACATAGAAAAAAGAAATTCTCAGCTGTCAAAACTTGAGATGATTTGTGAGCTAACAAAGTTTATAGCAAAACCTTAGTGAGACTGTATTTTATCACAAACTAATCTCTGAGAAAAACAAGTTTTCAATGTCAGTTTCAATGTTTAAAAAACTTACATAAGAAAATAAAAGTAAATATAAAAGTATCATCCCATTTACACTCCAGCAGAACTTACTACGTTGTTTTTCTGCATCAAACAAATCAAACACATTAGCCCTGGTACAAATATTCCCACTGTAACTCTGCTTTCCCAAAAGCATTAGCACATAGTCAAAATTACTGTTTAAAGATCAAACCTATTTTGCAAATTGCAGCTGAACTAGAATTAGACACATTCATACAAATTATGAAGGTCAGACTGGTTTATGATCTCCCTCAAGCCCAATTATTACCATCAAGGTTTCCTATGTCCTCAGAGATGGCTTCATATTATTTTTGAGCTGTAAATCGTTGCTCCAGAGGACAAGAGCAGCACTGAAGCAAAAAGAGGAGAAAAGGGAAGTTTCTCTCGAGAAGTTCTGACCACACCATGTGAAAACCCTGCACTGAGGGTCCGAAACACTTTGTGCAGCAGTTCCTTTGTGCCTTCCAGAATGCTGTCACCAAAATCCTGCCCTCAGTATTAACTGCAGGAACACAGTTATGCTTCAGGTCCTGAAAAAATAACAATTCAGCACCCTACAAACTTCAGCCACCCACAGATGGTTCTGCGGATATCAATACTTCCATGAAGAAATTCAGAATCATCTTTTAGACTTGAAAGGCCAGAGGAAACGATGAATTATTTTATAAGAGCTGCAGGTAACAGGAGTGGGCTTCCAAGCTTCTTTAATTGTACATTAAAGGATCCACACTGCCCATTTTCCCACTTGTTTCTATCACACGCCTCAAGTGTGTAAGACCTGTAACAACCATGAGCACAAACACTCATTACTCCTCTTCCACAGCACTCTAAAAACACAGTCCTCTGCACTGCATTTCCCCTTCCCTTATGTCCTAGTCCAAATTAATGATGAAGTTTGGATCAGACTCTGCTTTTGCTCCCACGCTTCTGCAGAACAGCAAAAATTTCCAATCATACACAATTCCTTGCCCCCCATCTGTTGCAACACACAACGCTCAGCCCATATGGAGTTTTGTTTTTCCTTTCATCCTGCCTAAAGCTGACTGAAGGGAGAAGCAGAAATAGTTTCCTATCTGGAAATTTGGACTACGAGTCTCCAGTCCAGCAGGCAGGAAAAGCCTGCCTGGCACTGCCAACCCTGCTCAAAGGGAGAGGGGTTTCATCTTCTCACCTGAGCTGCTCCTCCCTGCCAGAGCCCCCAGCCCACGATTCAGGGAGGAATGAAGCTCCCAGATTCCTTGTGCCACACTCCCATGGAGTCTCCTGGGACAGACAGAGACTTTCTGGAGCTGAGGACCAACACAAAGCATCGACAGAAACACAGGAGTGCGGTCAGGGATGGATCCGTAAGAACTACAGGAACCTACCCCTGGGAGCAGCTCTCCCCAGCACATTGATGGGAGCTGGGACAGAGCCCACACCATGGAAATGGGAATCTGGCACATCCCAAGAATGATCCGTGTCCTGGGAAGGACTGCTCCTGCCCCAGTGGGAGCCCAGATCACTGTGACAGTGAAACCAAGGACACAACAAGAACCTTCCTGGAGGCTCCAGCTCTGCTGGCAGCTCCTGCTGAGGCCAAGACCTGCTCTCACCAGCAGCCCAGAAGGTCCTGGCCGAGCAGGGAGATGCCAGCACACAGATTTCCTTGACAGTTATACAACTGCAGCACATCTTACACTGCACATCAGACCTCCTGATTTGCCAAAGACGGTAAGAACACTAATGAGAGCAGCATCTCTGTAATCCTTTTAAGTGCTTATGGTGTAGATAAAGCACACTGAACTACACCAGACATCAAAGCATGGCAGAAAGCACAAAACCAAAGTAAACTAAGGAGGAAAGTTGATTTTGTTTTCCTAAAAACAGAAAGGCTGCTAAAAGCCCTGCATCACAATCCAGCAGCAAATCACTATGGAACACTACAAAAACCTTCAGATTTCAAGAGGAAGATGCTTTTTAATCTGCCGCTCCCAATTCACACCTAAACATGCAACACAAGTATTTTTCTTAATTGTAACTCAGAACTCTTATATATTTAAACTCATATATTTAAGTTTAACACTTCCCAGTGAAGCTCCTCTGAATGCATCTCAAAACAGGTAATTTTTGTAACAGGTTTCATTTTGAACTAGTTTCAATAAAACAAATATTAAAAATCTGCTTAGAATTGCTTTCTCCAGGCTGACATATCAATTCCAAGGATACTAAAATACTGCCAAATTTCAAGGATGCTTGAGAGCTACAGCGAAGGAAGGGAAAAGGTGGATTTCTCTGTATTTACAGTCTTGTAGGATCAAAACAGAGACACTCCAGTGAAAGCTCATGCCAACTCTGGAGTTGGCTCATGTCCCCACTCCAGCTTCATATTCAGGAATCAGTGTGTTCAACTCATACCCATTGCTTTTGCACAAGAAAAAAACCTGGAATTTTCTGCATCTTCTTTGCTCCCTACCCACCCTTCTGGGCATTTCCTTCTGGAATTCCCTCAGATGTTTCAGAGACCAGCTCTACAACAACAAGGCTTCCTGAGCCAGTAAGAATGAACCTGTTCCCCCACCAAACCCACCTACAACCATCCTCTAATCTGTTTTTTTAGGTTTTGTTTACCAACACTACAGAAGCCTCCTGGGAGCCTCCAGCCCTGGGAGACAAGGGGGATGTGGGGGTGAAAGGAAAGGGGAACACACAAGAAGCCATGGAAACTTACCTACTGCCTAAAACCACCAAAGGAGCTAAAGCAAAATAAGGAACTTTTATAAGAAGCACCACACTGAAGGATCCACATTCACTTGTTGGCTTCAAGTCTAAGCTGACTTTAATCAGCTTAAAATAAATACATAACAGCCCAACCCAATCTCACTGAAATCTCACACAAAACAAAAAGTAATAATGGAATAATTAAGAGAGTTATTGATCTGAATGAGGATAGCATGATCTGATGAGCTCATGGACACAAACAAGGGAGAGCAGAGCATACACATGATGTATGAGATCAAAAAAATCACTTTGCACCTCAGCAGCACCCAACAGATCCTCTCCATCATGACACTGTAGTTCAACTTTATAAATTCAAAGTTTAATCAAACATTGACCTCAAACACTTGTGCTCCTAAACACCTCTACTTACATACTAAAATTCCTATTTTCCTACGATCCAGCTCCTTTAAGAGCAACCCTGATGTGTAGCACAAAAATCTTTATCAATTTTTTAGTTGTTTTGTAACATTCTGAGTACTGAAACAATGAAAACACGAGGATAAAGAAGTAACTTTGACCCCACTTAATTCCCTAATATAAATGTTTAAAGAGTGTTATGGACACCGAGTTGAACAGGAGCCAACAGCACATCTTTCACGAGAGGGCAGTGTGTCCAGGCTGCAGCAGCTGGACAAGGATAGCCATCCCTCTTCCTCCTCAGCACTCCAGGAGACCCACTGGGCCAGCACAGGGTTCCCAGTACAGGAGAGACTCCCAAAGTGGGGCAAATGCAGCGGTGTGAGCCAAGGGCAGGACAGCAAAACCATGGACAGGGAAAGCAGGAGTAAAGGATTAAAGCAATAAAGGTATAAAGGAATTGCTATCCCCATAGCCCAAGGAGCATGGGCCAACACTGCTCATCCCACAGCCAGCACACACCTGGACCAGGCTCTGAGGAAGCTCCTGTCACCTCTCACCAGACCGGCTCTGGGCCAGGGGTGGGGCCGGACACACCTGGCCCTGCCACCCCACCTGATGCACCACTCCAACCACATTTGTGCCAAGGAATGGCTTCAAATTCTGCTGATACATGGGAGACATCAGTGAGCACAAGCCTAAAACCCTATCACATCATCCCCTGACAATCAACCTCCCAAAACCCAATTTCTGTCGAGCAAGCAGCATCACTGGAGACATCTAGCTCCACAACAGGCTTAGGTTGGGTGGCAGTACCAGCCTGATTCCCCCCAGAAGTACTGAGTGACTGTAAGATAATTAAAGTCCTGTCAGATGTTTACACTGTTGAAATGACAAGGAAGCTTCTCAGTTCAGGAAATATTTGCAAGCACTTGTGCAATCCAGTAACTCCAGCTTCCGTTCTGGGTTCAGGCTTGGCAGGGAATCGGCCCTCTCAGGAATGAATCTCTGCCAGGTACCATTTATTGGGTGAGAATTCCAATAGTAGTTATTCCTTGTGCATAATATTTATTTCTCTCAGCGCTGCAAGGGTCCAAGCATATTTCTGCACAGCCATACATCAAAACCCTGCTCTAATTTCAGTGATTAGACCTTGAAACAAACCCTCACATGTCAAGGGAGCAATGCTATCAGACTGAAAGCTGTCAGAATAAAAATACATTAAAAATAATTAACTGTTTTCAAGGTCCACTCTTAACTCAGCTTTTTTGTTTATTGAACAATGCTTGATTACACTGCAATTATCACACACTGAACTGACATACATTACATTTAGTAAGAAAAAAAACTTACAGCTGCCACAGATATTCTTATAAAAATAACATGTGCCTTAATGTTCTCAGATGGAAATATTTTACAATACACTATTAATTTAGACTGAAATTTAAGGGTTTTTTAAGTAAGATTTTTAATAAGTCCAGAATATGAACTGAACATTTTCCAGGACTCATGCTGGGCTCCAACATATATTCATGAGCCTCACTTATTAACACAGGAGAAAAGTAAAGAATCAAGTGAGTCCAGGTGATGTTTACTCACATCCAGTTTGATAAAACTTAAGATGCTGCATTTACACAGCTTAAACAGCCTTATTTGATGCAGGAATTTTAATTCTTCTAGACTGAAAGTACAGTAACTACCACCAAACTCACGTAACATGTAAGGGACACGTCATGTCCTCACACACATCACACCTTTTATGTCCTCCTTTCACAGCAAATTAAAAAACCAGAAACTTTAAGTGATTAATACAACACTGAGTACAGGAGCTGAATTCAGCATATCAAACCTATTTATGATACCAAATATCACAGCTCTGGGTACTAAATGTGTTGTTCCTCAGTTTACACACACAGCCAACTGCGGAAGTTTTTCAGCTCTTTTTTCAGCTCGTTTTTCAGCCTAATCGTAATTATGACATTCTCAAGGAGCTGGGAGAGCCCCACGCTCTCTCTATTGAGATAATCTTCTTAAGACAGATTGTAAATATCTCATCCAGGCAGTGAAACCACAAAAAAACCTCTCCTCCAGGAGCAGGAGCAGCCGTGGGTGCAGGAAAAGTTGTTTTACAGAATCTGTTACAGTCTAAAATCTCTAACTTAGAAATCAGCTGGGGTTTTTTTTCAGAATACTGTGATACAAATGCAGGCATTTTCTTGTAACCTATTCAATCTGAAAGGAGGAGCTGGACAGCTGAAACACCACTACAAAATCATCTATCCACCAAATAAAATGCAAATTCCCATAACAAATTAAGACATTAAACTTTCCTCGCATAAATGTAACCAACAGCAAAATAAACATCTTTCACCAACAAAACAAGTATGAACCTACCAAGTACTTGTTTTTCATACAGCAAACCACAACTTCAGATCATTCTTTTAAGCTTTAGTCAGGGATTCTCTAACTTTTAGGAATTGCGATGATTCTTCTGCTTTCTTTAGGAGTGGTTCTGAAGGGAGTGGGAGCCTGGCAGGAGCAGAGATGCTGATCCAGACCCAACACCACTGTCTCCAGCATCCTCACTGCTCTCTCCAGGAAAGGAGCTGTCACTCAAAGAACTGCTCTGCAAGCACCAAGCTCACATTCCATTTCCACAGTTTTTACCCAATAAATACATGTATCTACTGTTTTAAGTCCTGACAGTTCTCACTGAGCAAACTCTGAAACTAAGAAAGCAACAAGGAAAATATCACTTGTACTTATCTGGTCTGTGTGAAGAGATGCTGAAAGACAGCAGGCACAGCACCCAGAAGTGTAAAACTGTAATAAAGTGCAACCCGCCTCAGGTACAGCAACAGGTACCACTTCTGTTTAATTCTTCCTTCATGAAAAAGCACCTGCTCATCATGAAGGAGACTTGAGAATCAGGAGAAGTGGAAGTAACACTTCACACTTTGTGACTACCAAAACAGGGAAGGAACCTGCGTGACTAAGCACTGTGCTGCTCCTCAGGAGGCTCAGAATGTCCATTTTCTATCTGATTTACTGGTTACCATCTCCTGTGCCACACAGCTGATTCTATTCTCAAGGTGCAGAGAGCTGCCCATAAAAATGCTTCTTCGTGGCCCATCCTCAGCTGAGCTGCTGCCAGTTCCTGTCCTCGTGCAGGCTGAGGTGCCACCACAGCTGGATCACACAGCCCTGCAGGACACCCCCGCAACAGCTAGGGTTGGAAGGCACCTCCAGTCCAGCCCCTGCTGAGGCAGGGTCAACTGGAACAGGTGACACAGGAATGTGTCCAGGTGGGTTTGGAATGTGTCCAGACACGGAGACTCCACCCTCTCCCTGGGCAGCTGCCACCCTCCACAGAAAAAAATTCCTTCTCATTCAGGTGGAACTTCTTGTGTTATAATTTATGGCCACTGCTCCTTGTCCTGCCCTGGGCGCCACTGAATAGTCTCACACCATCCTCTGACTCACCCTGGATATATTCATACGGATTGATGGGATCCCCTCTCAGTCTTCCCTTCTCCAGACAAACCAGGCCCAGCCCCACAGTCTCTCCTCACAAGAAAGATGCTCCAGTCCCCTGTACCTTGCTCACTCCATCTAAAACTTTTTTACTGCAACAGTCCAAACATGAACTCTACATCAAAGCACACCAAGCATTCTTAAAACGTGTACAACAGGAAGTGATATTCCAGCTTGTACACAGTGGTTTTCACACCTGTATCCTACAGACACAGCAGGACTCAGATAATCCTGCTAATTTATAATAAAATAAACCCTGCTTCCTGGGCTCTGTGTATGTCACTGGTGTATTACTGCCCTGTGAGGGTGGGCAGGCCCTGGCACAGGTGCCCAGAGCAGCTGGGGCTGCCCCTGGATCCCTGGAAGTGCCCAAGGTCAGGTTGGATGGGGCTTGGAGCAGCCTGGGACAGTGGAAGGTGTCCCTGTCCAGGGCAGGAGTGGCACTGGATGAGCTTTAAGTCCCCTCCAAACCAAACCACTCTGACATTCTATGATATTACACAAAATGTAGAACCTGGAATTTAAAAGCACGGATCACAAGACCGTCTGAGTGCTTTACTGAGTGCACTGTCAAACTGTATTTAATACATCATCTTCTTAAAACCGATGAACTTTCTAAGAGCACATCCCAGATGAACTTCTGAACAGTGTGGATGAAAAAATCTCTACCATGCCAGGTGAATTCCTTCACTGGGGAACACAGGGAAGGTTTGAGTGCAAAGGTGTCACCAAACAAGGTCTCCCTGACCATAGAGCCCATTTAGGACCTGCAAAACCACTTAGCAGGGCCCTACTTTGGTCTGTACACCACAGCACATGAGTCACCCCATCTAAAGCTCCAGAAGCTTTTCAATTCCATCCCTGAACACATATTAGAAAGGAAAAATTAACCCCAAGCTGTGATTCTGATAAGAACACATGGAAGGAGCAGTGTACTCCTGTTCCCTAGCACAAGTTCTGTCCAGGCAGAGCCCCGGGGCACAGGTGACAAACAGCACTGCAAGGCTTTATCTCAGCGCACAGGAAAGCAGGTGCAGTGCACACAGCACCTGGGCAGGCAATACTGTAACAACAGAACATCTGAATTTAATTAGACACGTTTTACCCCAGAGCTGCCCACCCCCTTCCTGACTCGCCTTCGCTGTGCCACCCCTGAAAGCCGAAACAAAACAGAGAGGAGAGAATGACAGAATATTTGGGGTCAGAAAGAGCCTTTAAAAGTCATTAGTCCAACTCACCTGCCACGAGCAGGGACATCTTAGACGGCTTAGATGCTCAGAGCCTGGTCCAGCCTGACACTGAATGTTTCCACTACCTCCCTCAGCAACTTGTTCCGGTGTTTTAACACCCTCACGGTAAACATTTTTTTGTTTATACTTAATCTAAACCGATCTAGCTCCAGTTTAAAACCATTATCCCCAGTCTTATCGCAACAGGTGCTGCTAAAAAGTCCGTCCCCATTTTTATTACAGACTGTCTTTAGACACCGGAAGCGGTTTAGGGTCTCCCTAGAGCTTCTCCAGGCTGAACAATCCCAGTCCCCTCAGCCTCCCTCACAGCTCCATCCCTCTGACCAACTCGGCGCCCGCTCCGCCAGGTCCGCGTCCCTCCTTCCTGCGACAGACACCCTCAGGACTCCGTCCGCACTCCTCATGCCAACAACTGCCCCGGCCCCGGCCGCCCGTGCCCT